TGTGCTAAGATCTATTTAGGTCAGGAGCTGGTTATAAGTTCTGTTCCTATCCAATAACAATGGACAAAAGGGTCCTATCTTGTCAGCCTTGTCAGCAGGTGGCCAAGGACAACACCCACGCCATAGGCCTCTCAGTTCTTCCAACTCACGAGTTCTTGCTCTGAGGACACACACACACACAAACACACACACACACACATCATCACTGTTAAACACACACACACACACACACATCATCACTGTTAAACACACACACACACACACACACACACAAAAATCCCCTCTCTTAGGCTGAACATTTGAAGACAGAGAACCCGACTCAGAGCCAATGCAACAGTGACAGTAGCCTGCAGGGGACCTCGCCCAACTCATCAGGACCAATCAGAAGATCAGAACTACTAGATTGAACCTACTTCATTTATTGCATAAAATGTCTGCACACAATGTTTCGGGGCTCTCTTCAGATAATAATAATAATAATAATAATAATAATATGCCATTTAGCAGACGCTTTTATCCAAAGCGACTTACAGTCATGCGTGCATACATTTTTGTGTATGGGTGGTCCCGGGGATCGAACCCACTACCTTGGCGTTACAAGCACCATGCTCTACCAGCTGAGCTACAGAAAGTGGATACTCATGGATGCGCATTGCAATTGTAAAATGTCAACACAATTGGAGACACCACGTCATTTTTGGAGACATGTTATTGACAGTAAACTATTGTAGATGCGACTGCTAACTAACTAAAACATTTTAGCTGGCTAGCTAATCATCTTAGCTAAATGTGGGGCAAACAATTCAGTTATTTACCGTTAATTTGAGGGATTGGGGTGAAAGAAATCGAGTTACATAGTGATACTTTACGATATACTGTATTGACAATATCGCAATATTTTAGCGCTAGTTGGCTGTACCTGCACCAAAACACCATTATTGTTCCTTCATAGCTTGTTCTCAATCTTTTCACATTGGGAGCCAATTTGTTTTCAGCACTTTTATTTCCATGACTGATCAAAACTCGTTCTCATGGCTTTCTGATCCCTCTGCAACAGATATATGGTGCGCAATAAAATCACAGTATCGAATCGCAATACGTATAGAATCATGAGACTCGCAATGCTGATGCATATATCTTATCGTGAGGTTCCTGGCAATTCCCAGCCCAAGTTCATTTGCCACAACAAATCTCTTCGCTAGCAAACGCGATGTCTTCTCCAAAACGGCAATGTGTCTCCAGCAATGTTTACTTTTTTGACGTTCTATGGCATCTCCACTTTCCAAGCATATATGACCACATGTAATATTTTGGTAAGTGATGCAAATAGTGAACTATGTAGGGCCAGGATGTAAAATATATGTAGCTGCAGCAATTTCTCTTATCTGATATGGTAAGTAATGGGGCTTAATTTATAGCTCCCTAAGAGTTTGACGAACGGGTCCGTGAACGCGATTCCAGATATATTTACCTCTGAATAAACTGCCTTTATTACACCATATCCACATCCAGTAAACTTGTGATTATCAACACTAACCTCATCGTTGTGGCGGCGGACAGCTAGCCTGTATCCCTCGTCATCCAGTTGAGTGAGTGGCAATGTCTTTTTTCGTTCGTACCAATTTTTGGAAAATCCTCGGGTGTAGGACTTTCCGCCTTTAGTAGAAACCTGTTGAATTATTAAATTTGGTCTGGGAGGTCCTAATTGTTTCGTTGCCAATTTATCTTCATTTGTTCGCCGACAAAAAGGAACTTCTTTCAAACAATCCACTCTTTTCTCACTTACGTTCATGGTTACGTAACGTATGACGAAAGCGCGTAAGTGCAAGCCCACAGACACCCATTGAGATTGTATTGAAGGCTCTGAAATTTGAAAAAAATAGATTTTACATGGGAGTCTATGACAGAAGTTCTGGGCGATTTTCAATCTGACTGAAATCGCCCCAAAAGGGGGTGGAGCCATTTGAAGCACGACTTTAGCCTGATTCGACATTTAGTGGCAGTGTGGCACTGTGGCAGATCAGACGTATAGATTACAACACTGATAACTACTGTTGCCGTGATATAATTGATTAGAAAAAAAATCCCTTCCTTTTCCCGTTTGGCAGTGCGTCGCCCATATCGCCCTATTGAACAGGCCGTCCCTGCTCAGCGGGACTCCACAGCCTTCTCTCCACCCAGCAACCTTTGACCTATCTCAAACTCCAAGGTACTCTAGGCCTATAGTAGTCTATTGGTTCTCAGTCTGACTCTCAGGCTCTCTCTTAGTCCCTCTAATTTCTTCCCTCTCTTTCTTCAAGTTGTCAGTTAGCCGGCCCCTGGGACAGTTTGGACGGCCTGTCAGAACAGGTCCAAGACCTGTGGCTGTGCTCCCTGGGGCTCAACAAACTGGACCATGAGGCCCTGCAGCAGACCTGGGGCCAGAGGAGGCCCGGGGGATGCGTCCTCTCCAGAGATGTCAAGTGCCCTCTCACTACTTCCCCCTCACTGTGAGGAGGACTCCTTGAGTTCTCACACCCTTAAAGACTGGTATCGCTTGGATTCCAATGCGTACACTTGAGATGATTTACATATCATTCCTGTTTTGGTGACATGGGCTGCAGCCGCAGATCTCGGCATTAATATTTTGTATGCATTATGTAGATATACTTATTTCAGTGTGTGTTTGTGGGTGCGTTTATACATGTGTATGTGTATTGTCTGTTTTTGTAAGTATTCAATATAAAAAAACAAAAATGAAGTGAAGATAATTATTATTATTATTGGACTGCTTATTGTCATGGTGCTTTTTTCCATGCAACCTCCCAACATTTGCTGACTGACTGAAGAAATGGTCAAGCTGAGAAATAATTATTTCCCTCCATTCTGTCATGACCCCCTAGTCTCTGCCCACAGCCGCTGTATCTCCGATACAACTCTCAAAACAAAACTATTAACAGGCTACTGTAGGGCCTTAGCCTACACCAAAATACATGTTTAACAGTTGTGGACGTAACAGAGAGCAAAATAAAATACCTGGTCTTATAACTTGCTGTGCCCAACACCCTACCCAAATCTATTTATTGCTATATGAATGAATCCAACAATGTGTACACTGCCATCTTGTCTTTTTCCAATCTTCTGTCATTGATTGAGACACATTATCTGGTGTTACAATCTGTAGCTAGTGAAAATAGAGTGGTAATTGGTCAAATTACAAGCCCGCGCATAATATTTGGAATCGCGGAATCCTGGAGAGACTGATCTTTACTTTCAATTAGATTAGATTACAAAACACTGTACTTTTTAGTCCCTGTAGGCAAATTATGCTGAGACATAAAACAAACATACAATAACCATATTAGCAAATTCAATAATGATCGTCATGGCCTACACAAGGGATACACATGGGCTACACATTGTTGACTGTTTATTTGAGGAATATACTGCCATATCTCAGCTTTACATTACATTTCTATCCAACTGGTTTAGGACTAGGAGGAATCTAATTCTTATATTGAATTGAAGCATTACTGAAATCATTATTTAAACTTTTCTGGTCTTGTTCATTTCTCAATAAAACAGCATTTTTAAGGTAGACTCAGCGATATGACGTAGATGCACGAAGTTAACAGCATTGTGGGTCAATTTCCACAACAACTAAGAGTGTTGAAGCGCAATGATATATTTCTCTGCTGTTTTGGTCCCGTGGCTACCACGTTCTAAATAATCTGTCCTCGGTTGTAACACTCACTGCCATGTTCCAAACTGCCTATGGAAGCAACATCAGCACAATAATTGTTTGTCGGGAGCTTCATGAAATGGGTTTCCATTGCAGTGTAAACACGTTCTCTGGAGTTAACCACAAACACTAATATAACATTTGTTTTGTCCCTGATGTTATCCTGAGCTTTCCTATATCTCTCAGATGCATTTCAGACACTTCAAAACATACGTCCTTTTGATTTATTTTGCAATTTATTGTTGTGTTATACAATGGGTGTCTATAGCAGTAAGGGCAAATGTAATGCTTCATCAAATAATTTTTTCATATTTTTCATATGCCTACAGGTGTCCTAAAATACAAATTAAAATAGCTAAATGGTCCATGTTATTACTATCTTAAAACAACTCCATATGTTAGGCTAGTAGATATAGCCCTAAATGTATCACTTCTAAGCTAGCTGAACAAGTTTTAATCAATATGTCAATGGGTTGTATTCTGCTGAAAACATACATACATTGTGGTCCTCTGTAGCTCAGCTGGTAGAGCACGGCACTTGTAACGCCAAGGTAGTGGGTTCGATCCCCGGGACCACCCATACACAAAAAAAAAAATGTATGCACGCATGACTGTAAGTCGCTTTGGATAAAAGCGTCTGCTAAATGGTATATATTTATTATATTATATTATACACTGAGTGTACAAAACATTAAGAACACCTGCTCTTTCCATTACATACAGTACATGGCTTAATCTGTAATTAACTAATTAAAATTAAATTAAAATGAAGATCAGACTTTGGATAGATGGAAAAAGGTTACAAATATTTACATATTCCTACAGGTGTCCTAAAATACAAATTAGAATAGCTAAATGGTCCATGTTATTACTATCTTAAAACAACTCCATATGTTAGGCTAGTAGATATAGCCCTAAATGTATCACTTCTAAGCTAGCTGAACAAGTTTTAATCAATATGTCAATGTGGTGTATTCTGCTGGAAACACACTGAGTGTACAAAACCTTAAGAACACCTGCTCTTTCCATGACATACAGTACATAGCTTAATCTGTAATTGATTAAATTAAAATTAAATTATAATGAAGATCAGACTGTGGAGAGATGGAAAAAGGTGATTATGAAGAAAAACCACAAGAAAAGATGACATCCTTCCAAGTAACATCCTGTTGTGGTCAATGTGAGATGTACTATCAATACATCGTAGGTGGGGTTTGTACAGGGGGCTGTAGATAGAGGGGCCTCTATATATAAAGGGGATTGTCTGATTCCTAAGTCACTTTACCAAACCCCAACACGACTTTACTCTTCACATCTCTACCACCGCAAATCATGAAAACATCTCTGGTCCTCCTTTCCCTCTGTCTGCTGGCTTGTTCAGGTGAGATTTCATTTGTTAACTCAAGTAGTAACTACTGTATATGCAGCACATACATTGGGTCAGGGTGCAAGGGGAACTGTGGGTAGGGGGGCCTAAATCAACTCCAAGTTCACCTTTGGTTTCAGTACAATACAAGTAAAGGACCCATCATGGGAGTGACTGTTGTATCATTTTTTCTTCACAGTTTGGGAGATCCATGGCCAATGCCAAGAGGTTGACCCTGATGACCAGGAAGTAGTGGAAGCACAGCCGGAAAAGCACATGGTAATAGTATGCTATGGTCAAAATGTTATGAACTAAGAGAAAGTGTAGACATTTCTGCAACTTACTATTGTAATACTCAACCTCCTACTGTTTAACAGAACTTAACCATAGACGTACATTTAATTAAAACATACATTGACTGAAGAAACTATTGTCCAAACTAACTTTTTCACACTCACATTACATCAAATGTACTTCAACCATAACACTGAATACATCACACCATAATTCAATTAATAATAATAATTTGGGGGGGTGCTTATATTTGTCTTGTTACACAAAAGTGTGTAATGGAAATGTCTTTTTTTGCATATCCCAACTCCCCCCGAGACACCCACAGGGAGTGGGGTCACGGCCAAGATCGCCATTGTACAGAGCCCCTGAAACAATTAGGGTTAAGTGCCTTGCTCAAGGGCACAGCGACAGATGATTATAATATTTTTACCATGTCCTTTCTCGTCTGTTTGTGCTTTCCACAGGAACAACAGCTAAAGGGAACCTGCTGGGTGTGTAAGTGGGCACTAAACAAAGTGAAGAAATCCATCTCCACTTCCTCTAGCCCGGTAGCTACCATAGCATTACAATCCATAAGAGTGTCTCTTCATGAAATTGCACTATTGATTATTTACTGTGATATTTCCCTGAAAATGTCAACTGATGTTTATGATGATTTCTCGTCAATAGGAGGAGCTAAAGCAGAAGCTATTGTCCGTTTGCGATAATGTTGGCTTCCTAAAATCTATGTGTAAAGGCCTGGTGAAAAAACACTTGTGGGTGCTGATTGAGGAGCTTAGCACAAGCGATGACGTGAGGACCATCTGCGTTAAGATTAAGGCCTGCAAGTGAGTACAAGAAACCGTTCGACATACCCTTAAGTCACTGTTCAGACAACTAAAGAGTATAGCGATGATCACTTGTGCTTGTTAATTGAAACACTATTGAGTAGAATGCATTCATTAATATGAAAATATTATGTCTTCCGATCTTCCACTCATGTAGTCTTTTTGTGCATCTTTAGACCAAAGGAAGTTTTGGACCTGAGCTACTGACCAAGCAGCCAGTATCCAGATTCCAAAGTAAGAAGATGGATGTTCTGTTGTCAAGACAATGCTATGCTGCCAGCCTCTTGCTCTTTCTTTTTCAAACTAGTCACAACACAAGCATATACATGGATGATCAAGTTGTTGGAATGATTATGTTCTGAAATAATGTATTATAATTAAGCAATAAGGCCAGAGTGGCTGTGGTATATGTCCAATATACCACGGCTAAGGGCTGTTCTTACGCACAATGCAACGCAGAGTGCCTGGATACAACCATTAGCTGTGGTATAATGGCCCTATACCACAAACCCCCGAGGTGCCTTGTTGCTATTATAAACAGGTTACTAATGTAATTAGAACAGTAAGTAAGTAGTTTTGCTTCATATCCGTGGTATATTGTCTCATATACCACAGCTTTCAGCTAATCAGCATCCAGGGCTCGAATGATCCGGTTTATAACAGTTTTTGTGTCATTCTTAAATTGCAGTACATTTTGTATCATGTACAAATGTAAAACTTTTGCTATTTTAGTCAAAAATGTTGAGAATGTTGAATGTTTGTTTGCGTGAACTTTTTGGCCGGGCAAAAAATAAACCTCAATTGACAGAGAGTACAACTCCAACCCTTCTTTGACACCGCTAACATAATTCCATAAATATATCCTATTAAATGTTTTACTGATTAACATGCAGTACTATTTTCTTTTAATGATAAATCATTTAATTACAATGTCTAGGAACTCATGTTGGCATTTTAGCTACCTTTTTATTTAGAATCTCAGTTTTCTGAAAATAATCTTGATTGTTTGGTAGGTGGCTTAAAGTAACTGTCCAGTGTTTCCAGATTTCTATGAAATATAACTTATAATAAATTAAAATATGGGTTAAATAGTTTTCCTTCCAGAAAATGGTAATTAAGTATGTTAAAAAGCAGCTTTTCTGTGAATGGTGTGGGCGTACCCCAACAAAAACAAATATTAATGCGAGTAGAACACTGATTGGCCAGCTCATTCTCCTCAGCATTTTTTAAACGGTCTGTTTGAGATACAAGTTTGAACTGGGGTTTTTGAAGTGTTTTTTCTCCAATTTATGCTTTTGCTACAAATACAAGTATAGGTTGAGTCAACAACATTATTTGGGTATGAGTTAATAGAATATGAACTTTTAAAAGTGAGATTTTCACTGTACTGTTACTTTAAGTGACATCCAGCAAAGGGCTTTCGTCTGAAAAATGTATAGAAACATGAATTATAGAGATACTCCATGCAATCAATCAAATCAAACATGACATTGCTACTACAGTACCGTGCCTCTCTGATGAAAAGCTATTTCCACACCTTTCACAAATTACGTTGAACAATAATGCATTTTTACAGTACTCACTTGTAGAGCTTAATTTTTGCAAAAATCAATCCGTAGTTGAAAAGTTATTCAGTCAGCAGCATCACACTTATGCACAATCTTTTTGCACAAAGATTTGAGGAAGCCAATTGTAAACCTTAAGGCATTATGAAGGCTCACACATCACAAATTTCAACAGCCTTGAGTGCTAACACAGATTGGTTAACAAGCCCTGCATCATGGCAGAGCCATGTAAAGCAGAGTCATATCAGATGTCATCTTAATTGTTCTCAATGTTTAGGCATCATGTTCTTAACCTTCCTCAGGACCCACTTACATGCCCAGCAGACTCCAGGAAGCTTTGCTTCAACTTGGCTCTCAACCTGTAGCGTTTTAAGCCAGCTGATTATATATTTTCATTTTTGTAGTATTCTATCTGAAAAAATGACATATTGGTCAAGCTCAGGCACGTACATTTTTTTGGTGCATTTTCCAACCTGTTAGGTGCACAGACTAATAAAGCCAATGCAACTGCCTGTTTTAGAAACGGTGGGCCTACCACATGGATGGGCATTCATACAATTCCATTGCTGGCAACATGGTAGGCTACACCCCAGTAAGCATGAGCCAAATTCTTTTTTTGGTCCTGTCCAGATGTCGTTTTTTGGTGTTTTACAAACGGTAGGCTTACCACATAGATGGGCATTCATAAAATGTAATTTCAGGAAACACAGGCCAACGCCTTTTGGACATATTTCTTTTGTGCAGTTTCCGACCAGCCTTGATTTCCAGATCCATAGACATTGGTTTTTGGTCCAGACCAAATCATAGACGTCAATGTTTGGTTCAGATTTTGTCTGGTCTGGACCAGCCTTGATTTGGCCCAAACATAGATGTTTACATTTCATTCATTTAGCAGACGCTCTTATCCAGAGCGATTTACAGTAGTGAGTGCATCAATTTTTCATACTGGTCCCCTGTGGGAAATGAACCCTCAGCTGTAGCGTTGTAAGCACCATGCTCTACCAACTGAGCCATACGGGACTATAAAGTACTTATTTTCAACTTTCATTCAGAACTGAAAATGAACCTGATTTCAACGTCCGGAAAATACATATTTTCAACGTCTGTAAAATGCGTAATTTCAACTTTAATTCAGAACTGAAAATGAACCTGATTTCAACGTCTGGAAAATAATAAATATATTTTCTGTATTTCACCCCCTTTTTTCTCCCCAAATTCAATCTTGTCTCATCGCTGCAACTCCCCAATGGGCTTGGGAGGCGACGGTCGAGTCATGCATCCTCCAAAACATGACCCGCAAAACCGCGACTCTTAACACCCGCCCACCAGCCGCACCAATGTGTCGGAGGAAACACAGTTCACCTGACGACCGAGGTCAGCCTGCAGGCACCCGGCCCACCACTAGGAGTCGCTAGAGCACGATGAGTCAAATAAAGCCCCCCCGAAGCTGGGCCAATTGTGCGCTGCCCTATGACACTCCCGATCACGGCCGGTTGTGATACAGCCCGGGATCAAACCTCGGGTCTGTAGTGACACCTCTAGCACTGTGATGCAGAGCATTTGACCACTACGCCAATCTTGAGAACCCTAATACATATTTTATTTTACGTCAGGAAAAGATGCCTTATCAACATTCTGGAAAATATGTATTTTAGACGTCTTTTCAATGTAATTTTGCTTACTGGGACTATTCTAGTTTTGCTGGGGGCACCATTTTCTGGTCTCACATATTTACATTTATGTCATTTAGCAGCCGCTCTTATCCAGAGCGACTTACAGGAGCAATTAGGGTTAAGTGCCTTGCTCAAGGGCGCATCAACAGATTTTTCACCTAGTCGGCTCAGGGATTAGAACCAGCGACCTACTGGCACAACGCTCTTAACCACTAAACTACCTGCCACATATGGCAGCAGAAAGGCAAGGACCAGCCCTGGAGGGACATATTGACTAACAACATGAAGTATGCAAAAATAGATACAACTGAGTAATTATATTTATTTAGCTTTGCACCATTGTTTTCACACCAAAGAAATTACACTTCCTGAATGTGGTGTCCTTGTAGGAAGGGGTTGTTTTCTTAAACGGAGAATTACAACAAACTAACAGGGTGGCATTATTTTTATTAAAGGGACCGCAAACAAGGAATGACCCGGCAGCTTCTGGTTGGTTGAAGAGGAAGGGAGCGAGCGAGAGTTGCCTGCCTGCCATGAGTTGAACCCCATCTGACGCAGACGTTCCAACTTAGGTGAGATTTACTAAAAAGGCTACAAAACAAGACACAGATAAGGCATGTGATAATTACCTTGTTTGTGTGGGAGATCGTCTGCTGGGTTAATTCCATTATCTGTCTGATAATGATGTGCACTTCGCGAACGATTTGTTCTTTTTGAACGACGTTTTTCTGAGTGGCTCGTTCATTTTAATCGTTCGTCTGTCCTGCTGGGGCTTAATGCACGCTCTTCCGACTCAGCGGCTCCAGAGACGTGCTCCGACAACCAACTGTCTATCATATGCGCGCAGGAAAATAGAAAATAATCATAGAGAAGAAAAATACATGTTTAGAACTGACAATTGATCACATGGAGCAAGAATGACTGCAATTCATTGATTGTTTAACGTTATGATGGACACAACAGCTTTGTAGAACCAAAACAAACACTGCCTCTGCCATAGTTGCAGCATGTAGGGGTGCTGAGGGTGCTGCAGCTACCAGAAAAATCTGAAAAAATAATAATATACTGAACAAAAATATAAACACAACAATTTAAAAGGTTTTACTGAGTTACAGTTCATAGCAGGAAATCAGTCAATTAAAATAAATGTATTAGGCCATAATCTATGGATTTCACATGACTGGGCAGGAGGGCATAGGCACAGCCACTGGGGAGCCAGAACCAGCCAAAAATAAATGCTCCTCAGTTTCATCAGCTGTCTGGGTGGCTGGTCTCAAACGATCCAGCAGGTGAAGAAGCTGGATGTGGAAGTCCTGGGCTGGCATGGTTACACATGGTTTGTGGTTGTGAGGCCGGTTGGACACACTGCTAAATTCTCTAAAACAATGTTAGAGGAGGCTTATGGTAGAGAAAGGAACATTAAAACAGCTCTGTTGGACATTCCTGCAGTCAGCATGCCAATTGCACGCTCCCTCAACTTGAGACATGTGTGGCATTGTGTTGCGTGACAAAACTGCACAATTTATGGTAGCCGTTTGTTCCCAGCACAAGGTGCACCTGTATAATGATCATGCTGTTTAATCAGCTTCTTGATATTCCACACCTGTTAAAAGGATGGATTATTTTGGCAAAGGAGAAATGCTCACTAACAGGGATGTGAAGAAATTTGTACAAAACATTTGAGAGAAATAAGCTTTTTGTGCGAATGGAAAATGTCTGGGATTTATTATTTCAGCTCATGAAACATGTGACAAACAATTTACAGGTTGCGTTTATATTTTTGTTCAGTATACAGTGGGGGAAAAAAGTATTTAGTCAGCCACCAATTGTGCAAGTTCTCCCACTTCAAAAGATGAGAGAGGCCTGTAATTTTCATCATAGGTACACGTCAACTGTGACAGACAAAATGAGGAGAAAAATTCCAGAAAATCACATTGTAGGATTTTTTATGAATTTATTTGCAAATTAT